TCAGCAGAGCGCTCAAACGAGGCGAGATCAGGAAACAGGAACGGGAGGAAAAGACGGCCAAGAGAGACAGTAGCGGGAGTAGAGTAGCGGGCCTTAATCGCAGTGAGGTACGCAGCAGCGGTGCGAACCTGAGTGAAGTGGACCTCCTCTGACTCAGGGAGGAGGCTGCTGAGTGCGATGCAGGCCGCAGCGTCACGCGACGTCCAAGCCGTCCTGTCAGCGCGCTGACGGGCAAAGCGAGCCGTAGCAGCATCGTCAGGGGCAGGACCTAAAGCGGCAGGCTCGGGGGGCTCGGGGAGGTCACCAGTAGCGTGCGACCAGAGGGTCTCGCCCCCCTGGACTTGACTCTCTAACAGACGGCGAGCGCGAAGGAGCCAGACGGAAAAGTCAAGAGGTCTGCCGTCAGCGTCGAAACGAAGAACTCGCGGAGTCGCCATAGCGAAAACTAACGCGAACGAGCAGGCGAGTAACAGCAGGAGGTAAGAGGCAAATTAGGGTTCAGGTGGGACTTAGTCGCAGCGGAAGAGCGGGCTAGAGCGACGGGCCAGGGCGTAGGGTCGACGGGACGGGGGAAAGGGCGGGCACGATGCGACGGGGCAGGGCGACGCGACGGGGGAGGGCGACGCGACGGGGTAGGGAGACGGGACGGGGCGACGGGACGGGGCAGGGCGACGGGACGGGACGGGGACGGGACGGGGCAGGGGCGACGGGACGGGACGGGGCGACGGGACGGGACGGGGCAGGGCCGCGGGACGGGACGGGACGGGGACGGGACGGGGCAGGGGCGACGGGACGGGACGGGACGGGGACGGGACGGGGCAGGGGCGACGGGACGGGACGGGGCGACGGGACGGGACGGGGCAGGGCGACGGGACGGGGCAGGGGCAACGGGACGGGGCAGGGCGACGTGACGGGGGGAAAGGGCGCGACGCGACGGTGGGAAAGGGCGCGACGCGACGGGGGGAAAGAGCGCGACGCGACGGGGGGAAAGGGCGCGACTCGACGGGGGGGAACGGGCGCGACGCAACGGGGGAAAAGGGCGCGACGTGACGGGGGGGAAAGGGCGCTAGGCTCGGCACTAGGCGCGGTAACAACGGAACCGGTACGAACGAGAGGTAGGATCAGGCTCGGGAGATACGAACGGAGAACGGAGGAACGGGATCCCACAGGATCCTAACCGCTCTGATACCATGTCAGAATGAGGAATGGATGATGCATTGATGTTGGTTGGGGTACATATAGCTAACCCTAAGTTTTGTACCCCCTAAGACAAACCTCACTATAGGCTACAACATTTGAAAGTGTGTAACACTTTCTAAAAATGTGTATTTTGAAAGCGAAGCTGCTTGTAATGCAGCAATGGCAACCGCGAAGTGCTAGACGCTCTTCGCCAACTATATAGCAGGGGGTGGAGGCCATTTGGCCTCCACCCACGTCTTCATTTGAAATTTCAACTGCATTACACCCTCATTCTCAGTCTACGCACAATCGGGAGCAGCGACAACAGTGTTGTCAGGTAGCGTCTCTGTGCTTGTGGCCGAACCCCCTAATGTTGCCAGGCACACCATGCACCAAGCGCCAAAACAGTAACATTCGAAACGACTTGTTCACTTTGTCCTACACTGTGGCCAAAGATTCCACATCAAAACACACAAGAAACAGACAATTCCTAACACAGGTTCAAAACACATACAGAATATCTACGTTCGGTAGAAAGGGGTAACGTATGGTAGAGCGAAAAGCAACGGCAGCCAACCACACATGTGAGCGCACTGTACACTTCCTGCCAGTCAAAGTCAACAGCTGCATTACCAACGTGGCAGTCGTGATTGTGCTTGTAGAGTATGTGCATGCACCATTCTAGGCACGTTGCAGTCACTACAAGCGTTCGGTGCATGTGGCGATTGTGCACAGACTGAGAATGAGGGTGTATTTCATTCTCGTCCGACTACCTGGTGCTTCTCGCAGTCCCTTACTTTTCTCAAGAAATAGTAGGCAAGCTCGTTTGACTTAGCAATACGAGTTTCAAAAATGACCCATCCCTACAATAGGTGCGCATGTTGGGGCTAATAGGGCGACAGCGCCACTGGCGCGCGTGGTGACGAAATCGCCACAGGCGCGTGTGGCGACGAAATCGCCACGGGCGCGCGTGGCGACGAAATCGCCACAGGCGCGCGTGGCGACGAGATCGCCACAGGCGCGCGTGGCGACGAGATCGCCACAGGCGCGCGTGGCGACGAGATGGCCACAGGCGCGCGTGGTGAAATCGCCAACGGCGCAATTGGCGCCAGGGGCGCTCATGGCGCCGAAATGGTCAAGATTGCCTCTGGCGCATGTGGCTACGAAATCGCCAGTGGCGCGCCAGAAACGAACTGGCATGGCAGATGCGCTTTTGTTGCTGAAATTCGTCTATGGAACACCTGTTACTTCGCAAATGTTCCCTTTATTTTTTTTTCCTTTATACGTATGTTCGGTTTTTGGCTTGTCTTCGTTTTCAGTCGTGTTATTTCTTAATTTTTGGTCGCAGTAAATTGGTGCGAGGCAACTACCACAGCATTGCGTCGCCTTCAGAGACCATCTGCCAAGAGAAACTACGGCAAACATCTGGTACAACTCTGTGCGCTCCCGTGGGAGATTGGGACACCCCCTGGGGGTCCCGCGCGAGCCAGAAAAGGACTCGTGGGTCCTGTGCGGTGCTGGCCAGCGAGCTCCCCAGGGGGGAGGAGGACCGGTGGGTCCTGTGCGGTGCTGGCCAGCGAGCTCCCCAGGGGGGAGGAGGACCGGTGGGTCCTGTGCGGTGCTGGCCAGCGAGCTCCCCAGGGGGGAGGAGGACCGGTGGGTCCTGTGCGGTGCTGGCCAGCGAGCTCCCCAGGGGGGAGGAGGACCGGTGGGTCCTGTGCGGTGCTGGCCAGCGAGCTCCCCAGGGGGGAGGAGGACCGGTGGGTCCTGTGCGGTGCTGGCCAGCGAGCTCCCCAGGGGGGAGGAGGACCGGTGGGTCCTGTGCGGTGCTGGCCAGCGAGCTCCCCAGGGGGGAGGAGGACCGGTGGGTCCTGTGCGGTGCTGGCCAGCGAGCTCCCCAGGGGGGAGGAGGACCGGTGGGTCCTGTGCGGTGCTGGCCAGCGAGCTCCCCAGGGGGGAGGAGGACCGGTGGGTCCTGTGCGGTGCTGGCCAGCGAGCTCCCCAGGGGGGAGGAGGACCGGTGGGTCCTGTGCGGTGCTGGCCAGCGAGCTCCCCAGGGGGGAGGAGGACCGGTGGGTCCTGTGCGGTGCTGGCCAGCGAGCTCCCCAGGGGGGAGGAGGACCGGTGGGTCCTGTGCGGTGCTGGCCAGCGAGCTCCCCAGGGGGGAGGAGGACCGGTGGGTCCTGTGCGGTGCTGGCCAGCGAGCTCCCCAGGGGGGAGGAGGACCGGTGGGTCCTGTGCGGTGCTGGCCAGCGAGCTCCCCAGGGGGGAGGAGGACCGGTGGGTCCTGTGCGGTGCTGGCCAGCGAGCTCCCCAGGGGGGAGGAGGACCGGTGGGTCCTGTGCGGTGCTGGCCAGCGAGCTCCCCAGGGGGGAGGAGGACCGGTGGGTCCTGTGCGGTGCTGGCCAGCGAGCTCCCCAAGGGGGAAGAGGGCTGGTGGGTCCTTTTTGGTCTGTGGGTCATTTGTAAGGTAGATTAATGGTTGTGCAGTCTTTGTAATACTTTGCAATTACCTTATGATGAGCCCTTACAGTGCAAGGTTGGGATGCGGTCACACTTGAGTTGGTTGATTGAACAAACGTGGTGAGTCTGAAATGGTGCACAACTCTAGCAGATCATACCTATACTCATAGGGAAAAATAAAAGAAGAATAATAATAAATAAATAACCACGCAGGGCTTAAACGCCGGCAGATTCATCTGGATACCAGAAAGTTTCATGTACTCTTTGTGATACGAGCACGATTGTGACCACAAGGGTCGGGCTCATTCCGTACAACTTGTACGGTACAAGCTCACACCCATCATCAACACAACATACCGTACCAACGTCCGCTGCCCGAGTCCTTCCATATTGTTGCGGGTTCGTGTAAGAAGCCTACGTATCAGCCATCTCCCATTGATCAACACGCCTGTGCTACACTTGGCGCGACACCCCATCCAATGCAACGACAGAGATTAACATCATCACCAGCAACATCGGTACAAGCATCCGCTCCGTATGCGAGCGGACCACCACCCACATGTCATCTCGCAAACGATCAACAACTCCCGTCGACACATGTCTCAGAAGACCCATTTGAAACGAAGCACGTTGCCATTGCAAACACAAGAAAGCAAGCTTTCTAAATATGAAGTTTTTTGAAAGTGTGTAACACTTTCTAAAAATGTGTATTTTGAAAGCGAAGCTGCTTGTAATGCAGCAATGGCAACCGCGAAGTGCTAGACGCTCTTCGCCAACTATATAGCAGGGGGTGGAGGCCATTTGGCCTCCACCCACGTCTTCATTTGAAATTTCAACTGCATTTTTTCCCACCCACCCACCCTAGCAAAAACTGCATGTTGTAATGTAGGTACCGTATGTATACTTAGCCGGACGAGAATGTTGTAATGCCCATTTGAAACGAAGCACGTTGCCATTGCAAACACAAGAAAGCAAGCTTTCTAAATGAAATGATCAATGTGCACTGCAGCCTGGTCTGCTGGTTAGTCTGGGCAGCTGGATGGAAGTAGCAAGCAAAGTGGTAGTAGGCAAGCAACTACTAGCCTGGCCAGGGCAGGAGCCAAGACCCAAGACCCATGCCCTCAATACACTTGGTGGATATGAAAAGGAGCAAGGAAAGATGTAAGTATATTTGTTCATACGGTATATTAAGGTATAAATACGGTCGATAGAGGCAGATTACTGCATGAGCTGTAGTGTGCCATATACGTGTACACGGAACGGGTTCTGAATAGTGGCATCCCTAGGCTACACTGACAGATATCACCTGCTCCGGTCCACACGCCAAGACAAGTCACTTACAGATAGCACCTCCCTGTCTAAACCATAGACTCCCCATTATCCTCTGCTGCTCCCACTAATGGCAGCCTTGTGTAGTCATCACTCTGTTCCACCGCTACCTCAGGGCTTTCCCCAATGGACACCCCACTCCATTCCTCCCCACTCTTCCCCCTCCCCTCCCCTTCATTCTCCCCCCCATCATCCCTCCTTCCTCCCCCTTCCCCCTCTCCCTTTCCACCCTTTTCTCCCCCCTCCACCTTTCCCTTTTCCCCAGTTTCTCCCCCAACTCCCCTTCCAGACAGCAACTCCTCCAGCAGGGAGGTGCGGAAGGTCCGAACAACATCGAGGGCGTATACGGGGGTGGGGCGGGCGGACAGCGAGGGGGACGAGCAGGCGAGGGCGAGGCGGAAGAGGGGGAGGAGGGTAGCGGGAGGGGGCAGGGGGTGTGGCAGCAGAGGGTCGAGGAGAGGAGAGATGTCGTCCGAGTCTGCGTGCTGCCGGGCCTGTGGGTGGGGGAGGGGGGAGGGCGGGAGGGGGGAAGGGTAGGGGAAGAGGATGGGGAGGTGGGCAGGGAGAAGGGGGGAGGCGGAGGAGTGGGAAGTGGGGAAAGGGAAGGGGGGAGTGGGAAGAGGGGGAGGTGGGCCTACGCCATCTCATGCCATGCCTTGCCATACCTGCCCTGCCCGGCCCTGCCATGCCATGCCATGCCATGCCATGCTATGCCATGCCATGCCATGCCAAGCCATGCCATGCCATGCCATGCCATGCCATGCCTGCCAGACCTCCACGCACCCAGTCATAGATGTGGGTGCGCTGGCCATCCACATCCCTGAAGGGACCCGCCCACCCTGTGAGCAGCTGTAGCAGCAGCACTCCCACACTGAAAGGGGATGGGTAGACAGGCAAGGGGTAGGGGGTTGAGCAGCTGTAACGATGGCAGACGAAATTGCTGATGTGCGCGGATTGGCCGGCGAAACCGTTGATCTGCTCGCTCAACGAGTGAAAAAAGCTCGTGCGACTCGTCAAAACGAGTACTCGACGAATTCTAAAAGATCGCCGAGTTTGCTCGGCTCGACTAGGGCGATCTTTCCCCTAAAAAACCAGGACCTGTCACTTGCTATGTGATGTGTTCCCCAAGCAAGCTGAGGTGAGAAACTCGCCCCGTTGCCCATGTATAGTGGTGAGCTTTTGAGAGCAAACGGGGCGAGAAACTCGCCCCATGTATAGCGGTGAGGCGTAGTGAGGCGTGGTGAGGCGTGGTGAGGAATGGTGAGGCGTGGTGAGCCTTTGAGAGGCAACACGACCCGACTTGTTCCGACCGACCCAATGCATTCTGCACCAGGTTGTTGAATCCCCACCTATAAATATCACTGTTCAAAGCCCCACCTGTACATGTCACTGATTAAAGCCCCACCTGTACATGTCACTGGTGGGAGTGGCAATGCCGGTTTGCACCACAGCCGGGTCCATATGCCCCTCCGTGCACCGCAGCAAATACACCTTCTGCTCGCCTCCGTCAGTGCTGCTGATGCTGCTGCCACTCCTACCGGACCCCCATGAATACCCACTCTTACCACCCCTCCTGCCACTGCTGCTGCTCGTGCCTCTGTCTCCACTTGGCAGGGACACTATCCTTGCCAAGCCTTTCTTGCCAGAGCCTTTCCGCTGCCCGTCCAAGCCATTGCTGCCCATGTCCACATGCACGCGCTGCCCCATGCACACCACACTCCAGTCAACCACTCGCGCCTGGGAGGGGGGCCGGGAATACATGGAGGAAAGGCAGGGAGGGGGAGGAGGGGGAGTAAAATGAGGAAAGGGTGTATTCTCTTCTCGAAATGCATGCACCTATATCTGAGTTACATTTATATACTTCATCAAGCAGCGGCAATATCTGACTCACATCCAAGAATTCTCATAATGCACACACCTGTACCCAAGCCACTTGTGAGAATTCTAAAAAATGCAACCACCTATATCTAACCCACTCTTGAGAACTCTCAAAAGACACGTACCTATCTATTAGTCACTTTTGAGAATACCGAAAAGGCAAGTACCTCAAAGGCAGGGCTGAGCAGCACGTTGGAGGGCTTGAGGTCGCCATGCACCTGCCCGTGGCTCTGCACTGCCTTGAGCGCCAGTAGCACCCCCACTGTTATGTCCACCCGCTGCTGCAACGACAACGGCGTGGCGCCTGCCAGTGAGTGTAGCGATGGATGGGGGAGTGTGGGCTTTGTGCACCAGGTATGTCCCAGAAGGTAGTTCCTCACCTTTGATCGTAGAGGTTGAATGTTCAAATCTCAGAAGAATTTCCACTTTCCCCTCATAGTATGTCCAGATTCCACCATGCTCATCCACAGTGAAGTACGGTCACAGTTGGCACTGCCACCTTTCCATCATCTCATGCTCACTTGCTGGCCCCTATTGTGTGCCATATGCTGCGATGCAGGGTTTAGGGTTTTGGCCTCGTGTGCAACATGAGGCCTCGTGTGCAACATGAGGCCTCGTCAGGCCTCGTCTTGCCTTCAACGTTGAGGTGCTGCAGAGCTTGAAGAGTCCTGGCATACATATATGGCTTCACCACTTCCCTATAACTCATCTTTAGTTAAGGAGACTGTTCTCGTCTCTAAGGTTTGTACCATCTGTTTAGCTAATGACATCTTTCATCTTCCTATTCTGCCTTGAAGTTCACCGAAACATTTTTTACAGCGGGGATGGATGGGCATGATAATAGAGTGTGAGGATGGAGGGACACGGCACGAGGTCGGTGCGATGGGGCAGGCGTGAGGCGCTCTTTTACCTGCAGACATGATAAGTTAGGTGCAGGGCGAGTGGCGAGAGCGGGTGGCGAGGGCGAGTGGTGAGGGCGAGTGGTGAGGGAGAGTGGTGAGGGCGAGTGGTGAGGGAGAGTGGTGAGGGCGAGTGGTGAGGGGGAGAGTGGTGAGGGCAAGTGGTGAAGGCGAGTGGTGAGTTCGACTTGTTGCTAATTGGCATCACAAGCTCTATGGCACGCACCTGGCTGCAGTGCTGCCTCTCTGCGCACCTGGCTGCAGTGCTGCCTGCAGGCTGCCGCGCTCCATCCACTTATACACCAACACCAGCTCATTCCTCCCCTCCCCCCCCACCACCTCCTCCCCCTCCCCCTCCCCCTCCCCCTCCCCCCCCTCTCCCGCTACAGGGCAGCAGCACCAGGCCACAAGCCCCAGCACGTTGGGATGTACAAGACAAGCCAAGCCCGCCACATGAGCCTCCAACTCCGCCCTCTCTGCCCCATACGCCCCCCCCTTCATGCGCTTCACACCGCCCACTTGTCCCCCCGCCTCCATGAAAGCTTTTTTGTCCCTGACCCTGAAACCTGCTTCCCCTGTGCAACTTCCCCCTTGCTCCTCCCGTCCTTCTTCCCCTGTGAACCTCTCCCCTTGTCGCTTCCCTCCCGCTTCCCCTGGGACCCCCCCTGCACCTCTGCCCCTTGCTGCTTCTTATTTCCTGTTTCGACCCCATTCTTCTCCCCATCCTCCCCCCCATGCCTGTCCCCATCCCCCCTCTCCGCCTCCTCCACCCATTCCCCCCGGTACAACACGTCACTCCACCTGCCTCCCCCCACCCTCCGCCCCTCCGCCCACCCATTGGTGGCTCGGAGGATGTCAGCCAGGGGGATGTGCGGGCAGGCAGGTGTGCGCTTTAGCAGAGGTGTGGCTGGAAGGGGAAGGGGGTAAGGAGAGCAAGGGGAAGGGATAAGGGAGGATGAGTGAGAAAGGGGCAGAGGAAAGATTTATTTCTTGCCTTGCAATCTCGTTATTTTGTTTCTGTGTTTTCCTTGAGAACTTGCTGATTAAGGGGTGTTGACGAGAGAAGAGGGTAGGGGAATGAGGAAGAGAGGCAAACGCCCCACACAGTCACACAACACAACGTTCCCAACAGTGCACACCACATGCCGACACGTTGCATTAAAAGCTTCTACCACCATGCCATCATGCAATCATGTATTCATGCCATGAGCACTCAGAATCTCCCCTTCCTCTCCCCTTCCTCTCCCCTTCCCACTCACTCGATTCCTCCCCCGTCTGCTCCCTCCCCTTCCTCCACCTCCACACCCCCCATCCCACCGCTGCCAGCAACAGCAGCAGCACCACCACTGCACCCACTACTATTCCCGCAATCGCAGATGGTGGGAGGGAGGAGGGTGGTGGGGAGGAGGGGCAAGGAAGACGGTGACGATGGGGGGAGGAGGCGGGGGGGAGGGGGTTGGCGGAGGGGGAGGAGGGGAAGGGGGAGGCGGACTGGAGATTGGTGCTGGCGGGGAGGGGGTTTGGGATGGGGGAAAAGGGGGATGGGTGGGCAGATGAGAGTGATGGAATTTGAGAATGGAAGGGAAGAGTGAAAGGAAACAGCGGAGAATGTTGATGTGCGGAGCAAAATCATGAGAGATACAGTCGGAGTGTTGTTGAATCGACTCAAAATTTGGAGGAGCATGGCAGGGGCACATGAATGGTGTGATGCGATCCTGACCGTTGATTGCGATACACGTGGTGCAGAACGTATAACAGGCCTTGCAAAACGCCGATGAAAGGTTCTGCGTGATTTCAC